GCCTTTTGTGTTTTTGCTTTCGCGCAGGCGCGTTGGTGTGCGGAACTCTGGGAAATGTAGTCCAGGAGCGGTGCCGTGACGTCATTTCCTCACAGGGGCGTGACGTTCCTGGCAAGTTTTTTTTCCATGATGGTTATTTCTCCTGCATCTCAAGACAATTCCAAACTTTCTGGACCTGCAGCCACCAGGACATCGATGTAGTGGACAGAAGTCGCAGCGCAAACAGAGGTTTGAAAGGCGAAAGCGGCGGTTTGCGTTCTGCTCACGGTAGCTTTTTACAAAAGTGGGACAATTGGCGCGTCCGTGGGCTGGGGACGGGTTCGGATCGCGCCTCTCATTGTTTGAGGGTCTCGGGGCTCTGGGCGCTCAGGTCCGCTCGGCTCCGCCTTGCACGCGCGCGGCCAGCTCCCTGTCCCCGGCTTGGGGCGACCCTGCCTCGCTCTATCTCTAGGGAGCTATGTGAAAGGTGATACGGGCGGTCAGCGAAGGGCCCTGACGGCGCCCTGTCAAACGATCGGCTGCTCTCCGAAAGGCTGTGGTGGTGGTTGTGTGCTGTCGAGTTAGAAGTGACCCATGGCTGACCCTCCAGAGGGTTTTCAGAAGCAGTAAATCTCACAGGAGCAGACAGCCCATCCCTTCTTCCTGCGGAGCAGCTGGTGGATTCGAACCCCTAATCCCGCCTGTGTGATTGCAGCGCGTCTTCTCGACCCTGACATATAATGACCCACGTACAACCGATCCAAACCCGGCCCGATTCTGCGCCATCCTGGCTCTGCTCTACTCGGTGCTTAAGCCATTGCTGCACTCACTGTGTCAGTCCATCCGGTTGAGAGCCTTCCTCCCTTTCGCTGCCTACTTTTCCCTGCAAAATGTCTCCTTCCAAGGACTCCTCCTGACAGCATCCCCAGAGTATGTGAGAAGACGTTTAAGTTTTGCTTTGTTGTTGGGTTGTTTTTTTTTTTTTTTAAATTATTATTCTTTTATGTTACTGAAAGGTAAGCTGTTCAAAACTCATCAGCTAGCTGGTCTTTGGGAGAAAAGATCTGGGGATCCCTGTGACTCTTAAGTTAGAACGGACTACACGGGCAAACAAGTACCTTCATAATTTGAACTTAATAGAATTTTAAATGTGATCATTTTTCAGAATTAAAAGATAGCGTAAATAAAATCTAATAACTATTCACAGTTACCCATCAACAATCCTTTGTCCAGGATGACTTGATTCCAACTCATGGCAGTTTTCTGTTGAATAGTATTTCAGTTCCCGAGAATTAATAATCGTTGGGAAACTGAGGCCCAGTGGTCACACAAAGTTCTTTAGCAAAATCCTCGTAAAGTTGGACAAAGAACTTAATTAAGTTCACTCAAAAGTTAACAAGCAGGGGGCCGGAAGTTGTTGTCCCGAGGAGTCAACCCCGGGACTGTGGGGCTTGGAGTGGGGTTGCTCCTGATACTGTGACCATGGGCGGGAAGAACAAACAGCGGACCAAGGGGAACCTGAGGGTTAGGAGGCTAGAAGTCCAAATTCAGGGTGCCAGCTCTAGAGACGCTCTTCTCCGTTCTAGAGGAAAGGTCCTTGTGTCCTTCAGCATCTGTAGACATTGAGTTCTTGGAGATATCCATCCATCGGTCTTCGCCTTTCCTGGTCCCAAGGAACTTCCTGTGGGGGCCCAGGACTAAATTCTATTCTTGGACAAGTCTTTTGTGTGTGTGTGTGTGTGTGTGTTACTAAAGATCCCCTTTTCCCATATCCCTCCCTTCCTATTAAAAAAAAAATTATACTGATTTGCATATAAAAAAAGTTAACAAGCCTTTGCCTTTTTTATTTTTAAGAGCAATTCTTCATCTTTGCCATTTTCTGAGAAGCCATGGTGTTTTATTATCTGGAAATTGTGCAAATGAGTGGAGAGATGAGCAACCCAGAGGCCACTTAGCATCTGATGCCATCTGAGCTCAGAAAGGGGACTTGGTTTGAACAATAAGGTTAAGATTGTCAAAGGATTATTTCTATTGCATTTCCCCCTCTTCTTTGTAAAAATGTCATTGTAAAAATGTTATCAGTGACCAGATGCTGAAAAACCCAACCCAGTGTCCTCTTGTTGGATTCTGACTCATAGCGCCTCTCCAGGGCCCTCTAGGACTGGGTAGAACTGACCTTAGAGGTTCCGGTTCTGTTGAGTCCTTGTGTGAACACTACCTCCTCTTTCTTCCAGAGCACCTGATGGGTTTTAACCACAGACCTTTTGATTAGTAATTAGACCAAATGCTTAACCATGACACCACCAGGGCTCCAGTGTTCAAGGACCAAAACCCAAACCTGCTGCCCTCAAGTCCAGTCCAGCTCATTGAGTTTCTGTGGTTGCTAATCCTGATAGGAGGAAATGGTCCACTTTCTCCCTGGAACACCTGGTGGATTTGAATTGCTGACGCTTTGATTAGCAGCCCCACATGCAATGCATTCTAGTGCCTGAGCTCCTTCAAACAGCGCATCCACTGCTATTGAGTTGGTTCTGACCCACGGTGACCCTCCACTGGACTTCCAAACTGTAAATCCTTATGGGAGGGGCTTCCCCATCAATGGACAAGCTTTCTCAATTTGCTTCTTGTTCAAAATTTAAGGGAGTTCTGGTGGCAGCATCTCTAGGGGCTTGCACTGCTAACTGAAGGCCACATCTGTCCAGCAGTTCTAATCCACCAATGGCTCCTTGAGAGTAAGAGTGGGGAGACACCTCGTGTGTGGAAGCCCACTTGGAGGGTCAACTACAACTCCACAACTTGAGTCAGTACAACTCCACAACAGTATTTAAGTAACAGGTAGCAAGTTGTTATCTAATCCATAGTCTTGGCAAAGGTTTCCCTCTGATTTCAGGGTGCTCCTTATGCGTTCTGTTTAGTTGTCATGTTTCCATACTCTTCATTTATATTGATTCTTCATTCTTTCATTACCTTCCTCACCCCTACTTCACCATTATTTTTAAAAATTATGGGCAAGAGTTGTGTTCCACTCAAAGTCAATCAACAACAACAACAATGATTTTTATAGAAAGGCTTTGATTTTGGGTTTTTACCTGGTGTTTTCACAGTCCAGTTCACATGATGCTTTATTGATGGAGAAACCACAGAAATGCCAGGTGTCCTTTCAGGGGGGCATGTCATGCGGCCAGTTGTGGGTGTGGGAAAATAAGTTTCTCAATATTGGTGAGCTCAGCATTCTTTCTGTGGTTGAGGTGAATTTTTGACTGAAATTCTCTGCCAATTCACCTTTTGTAGGTAATGAATTTTGAGGCAATACAGTTAATATTGGACATTCTACTGTCATAACCAGCTTTTCCACAACTTATTTATTCATTCAAATCTAAATTTTATATCAACATGAAATTGGAACCTACTCTTGTTTTCCATTGTGGATGTTCATGATTAATGCTGCTCTGACCACATGCAGCAAGTCTTTATGGACAAGGCTACAAGTGGCCGTGAGCTTTCATTCTCTGGGATAAATATCTAAGCAGCAGGTTGTGAGATTGAATGGTAGTTTCAAGTTTCACTTTTTCAGAAACTGCCAAACTGTTTTCCAGAGTGGCTTCATCAAGTTATTTTTTCCAGAATCTTACAGTTTTTTAAATAAAAATGAAGTGATTTTATTGTCTTTCAGCACATGAGTTTGTTTTATTCCTCCATGTTTCAATTAGCTTTAGCAAAGAAATGCATAACCTTAACTGAAAACTTTCACAGATACTATAAAATCTGCAATCATTTTATGTTGATAAAAATATTTTCTGTGGTTAAAAAGACCTTTTCAGGAACTTTCTGAAGCAGAAAGTCACTTGCTTTCATACCTTTTTGATAATAAAATAATTATCTGTGCCAATTTAAATAGTATTATTTGGGTAACAATTTATTAGGGAAAGGAGTCAAGCTTTTGAATGTTTTTCACCACATTCCTGGGACCTTCACTCTGCAGTGATCACATCAGAAGTCTACCAGTCTTCTTTATTATGATTTTATATTTTATTTTTATTTTCATTGCAGTAAAGGTTTATGTATCACATTATTTATTCATTCAACCATTCATACATTTTTCTTCAAGAACATGCCTTTACTACCCATAATCACAACTTTGCCCACATTTTCACTATAATTCTGATTTCCGTATTTCTTACTGTGTTCATTTGGTGGAGAGGAAATTGGTAAGGATAATTGTACAGTTCAGAATATCAGTGCTTTCCTATATCTGTTGTTGTTGTTATTGTTATGTGCTTACAAGTCACTTGCGACTCAAAGCAACCCTGTGTACAACAGCTCTGAACCCTGCTCTATCCTGTTCCAACCTCACTGACCTACCCCATTTTCCCAGTCACTGAATCAATCCATCTCATCGAGGGTCTTCCTCTCTTGCACTGTCCCTCCACCCTTCCAAGCATGATATACCCACAAAGAAAAAAAAAAAGAACCCCAAACAAACCGACAACTACTGTTACAGAGTTCGGAGTTTTCTACCGTGCAATCAGCAGGAATCTATAATGTATGAGTCCTGTTTTACAGATGATAGAATTGAGACAGAGTTCTTGATTTGCCAAAGATAACACAGTGAGAAACAGCCCAGAGCTGACTCTGGTAAAAGTAAGACAGTAAGTCTCACATTCTCTTGTACCTGAATCAGAATTGCCCTGTCGGGGGCCACAAGGTGCATTCATGACAAGTCCATGCAGTATTCGCTACACCCAAAGTGAAAGATTTCAGATCAAGCTGAGTGCAGCTGCAGCCCACTGACTTGGAGCCGTGCCTCTACTTCACATCGCGTGCCCGTGCAGGGGAGTCACATCCCCAGCTCCCTTCTTTTTTTTTTTTTAATTTAGGTTGTTTATTTTTCATTTGAATGAACATCTACAGAGATTTTGGAATTCCATGCTCCCTTCTTATGCCTTTCTTCTTACTCCCGCATTCAGTGTCCCGGGCTCTGCACATCTCAGGACTCTAAGGCAGCAGAAGCAGGAAGGAACATGAGCAGGTTCAAGGTGAGTGCAGCTGACCTTTGCATATGTAAATTTCATCAGAGCTTTAAATGTGTTTGTTCTTAAAATCCATTCTTCCTGCTCAGAATGGACACTGGATTCTTTTTTAAAGAGCACAGTTGTTGTTGTTAGGTGTCATCAAGGATGACTCATAGTGACCCTGTGAACAGCAGTCTTGAGTTCCAGCCTGTCCTGTGCCATCCTTCCTGTCTCTGATGTGCTTGAGCTCATTGCCATAGTCACCGTTTCAGCACGGTAGTTGAGAATATTCTTTGCTTAGTGAGCTAATTTGGATAAGTTCATTTCAAGTTTTGAAGTCTATCAGTAGTCTTTGGGGGAGTTCTTCAGTCTCAATTTCTCCCGTAAGTCTGTTGTTACTTCCTTTTCTACTTATTTTTTTAGAGATGTGATATGTGTTCCACATTTTCCTCACATTTGATCATGTTCCATGTGTCGTGGTCTAGAACAGAATGGCCATCTCGTTCTGGTCTAAGGGTGGATAAGGCCGCAGGGCAGGGTTCAGATCTGATTTCATAGTCACGATGAGTCCTAGGAGGAGTTTCAGCAGCATGTAACAGCAACAGTAACTGAGGAAATTCCAAGGGTTGAAAGGCTACCTTCCAGGAACCAAGGATAATAGATAATAAAATTCTGTTTCATACCTGTTTGTTAACCTGAAATGAGTAGGAATAGATGAAAATTATGGGCTAGAAGCCTCTTGTTTAAGTCAATCAAGATCTGGTGGGCAGGCTTTTGAATTTAAAAGTAGGTTGGGCTGAGGGCCTGTTCTGGTGTTTATTGTGTTTGGGAAGAACATGGTCCTACATGGGACAGCACTGGTTTGTCAGTTTGCTATGCTGAGGTGCCTTGAGGTTGCTGTGATACTGAACACTGCGCCACTGGTGTGTCAAATACCATAGTATTTACCCATGGAGGACAGTATTTGGTGGAGCTCCCAGTAAGACAGGTTTGGAAGGAGTGGCATCCACTTCCAAAACAACATGCCTTTGGAAACTCTATGAACATTAGAGAAATGACGATAGTTATAGAACAGGGTTCAAATCTTTTGTTCATAGGGTCGTTAATGAGTCATACTTGACTCAACAGCACTTAACAACACAGCAATTAATTCTAATAGTAATTTAAAATGCAGGAGGGGAAAGCCGTCTATGAGTTGGATTGATTCAGTGACTGGGATAATCGGGATGGGAGTGTCAGAGACAGTGCGATTGGCACAGGACAGAGTGGAGTTTAGGGCTGTTGTACATAGGGTCGCTATGAGTCGCAAATGACGGCACATAACAACAACAACAAGCTCTTATTTAGTACTCTTGCTATGAATGATATAGTGTATATAAACATATATGTATACATTTCCTTGTTTATCCTTAAAAGTTTTATTTCACAAACTTCTGAACAAAGAGGAAACTAAGACATAGGAGAACTTACCCATGGTCCCATGGCTGGTAAGGCTATTCAGGTAAGGGTAGCTACAGTTTAGTGCATTGAGTATTGGGATTCAAGGATGTGATGTGCGCCTTGAGATCTGAGAGGTTATCTTACACACTTGTCCAAGACAGGGTAGCCAAACCTGATTAGTTTAGCAAACATGAAACAAAAGTGCCACCAGAAAAAAAAAAGGTGCCACCAAAGTCAGTATGTGTGGGAGGAGGAAGGTGGGTGCTATCAAACTGCTTTGCAAAGAAATTGGCTATGTTTTCTGAGGTAGTTGGTGCTATGAATCAAAAAGTAAACCACATGTATTCCATCTTGCAACAATAAAAGTCTTAAGGGTTGCTCATAGAACACAGAGGGAAAGCCCAGGGGTTCTCACTCATTGCTGCCTTTGGCTAAAGCAAAGGAAAAGCAGTGTGGCGTTGGCAGGGCAGAAGCAGATGGGCTGGAAAGTCCACATAGGTTGTTCCTCAGAATCTGGAACAACTTCCCAACCCTCCCAGTCTCTACAAATAGAAAGTGATTCTAAGACAGGGTCTGTGTTTCTTGATGTTATAGAAATCAATGACGTTCAAGGACGTGGCCGTGGTCTTCAGTGAGGAGGAGCTGGAGCTGCTGGACCCGACCCAGAAGCAGCTGTACCAGGATGTGATGCTGGAGAACTTCAGGAACCTGGTCTCAGTGGGTGAGGACCATCTCTCCCTAACATGTGTTTATCTCCTCAAAGTTTCAGAGTTTTCAGAGGACTTGGCTTGGTCACCTGAGTTTTGAGAACTGACTCTCTGGCTAACTTTTCAAGAAATAAGATCAAGTGGAAAAATATCAGAATTCTCCAGGAAGGAAGGAGTGCATTTCCACACAAACTCTGGCCATTTTTGTGCATGGTGTGACGTTCACAGGGAGGAGATTTCATGAAAGTACCTGTGCACATGCGTCTGCATTTTAAAACCAATAGTATTTGGACGCAGGAGTGGCATCCACTTCCTAAATAACACGCCTCTGGAAACTCTATGATCTTTGATAAATGTCGATAGTTGTAGAGAGGCTTCAAAGCCTTTTGTTCATAGGGTCGCTATGAGTTGTGCTTGACTCGAAGGCAATCAACAACAACAATAAGTGTCTCTTCAAGTGCATCAAAATTAGTAAAAAATGATTGAAAGAGCATTTCTTTTTGGTTACTTCATGTGTATAAAATTGTTGTTGTTATTAAGTGCCATCAAGTTGTAGACGGCATAGTGATCCTATGAACGAAAGCCTTGAACACAAAAAACTTTCTAGGTTCATAGAGTTTCTGGAGGCATGCTGTTTCGGAAGTGGGTGCCACTCCTGCTATGCTGTGTATGCAACAGGAACCTAAACTTCTAGTAAATTGTACCTGCAAAGTGCTCATTTTAAATGTGTTACTTTTACTGTTTACAGGCCTCCAGCCCTTTTAAGCACACTATGTTTCAATTAACAAGGGGGAAAGACTGAATGATGAAGGCAGGAAACAAAGGGGAAGGACTTACGATTTGAACCAAGACACTTGTCCATCTGTTTTACTTCTTGTCTCTCTTATTGCCATTGTTGTTGTTGTTGTTGTTGTTATGTGCCATTGAGTCGCTTGCGACTCATAGCGACCCTATGTACAATGGCCCTGAAACCTGCTCTGTCCTGAGCCGACCTTATTGTCTCTGACACACCTATACCCATTACCCCAGTCACTGTGTTAATCCATCTCATCCAGTTTCTTCCTCTCTTGCGCTGTCCCTCCACCCTCCCAAGGATGAAGTCCCTCTCCAAGGACTGGTTCCTTCTTGCAACATGTCCAAAATATATTAGACGGAGCTTCAGAATCCTTGCCTCCGAGGAGCAGACGGTCTGAATTCTCAGGCCTCTCCTGGATTCGTTTTACAGCCTGTGTCCTCATTGTCTTAACTGTACCCATTTCTGCCTATAGTCATGTAGTCTGAATCCACCAGCTGCTTCCCAGGAGAAAGGTGAGCAATCTCCTGTTGATTTACTGCCTCTGAAAGCCTACTGGAAGGTCAGCTGGGAGACACTTCCAACCAGACAGTACATAATAACAGCATACTCATAATTTGATGACTTCTTATATTTCTTAGAGTTAAAACCTCGCCATGGCGTGCGTCTGGTCTTCCAGCCCTGCTTCCTCTCTGAATACACCTTTCCTCTTGCTCTCTTGTTCAATGTGTTCCTGCCCACATTATTCTTGTTTACCCAGGATATCATATTCGTCTCCAATTGCTTTTATAAATAAACATTACTCCAACTTGATAGGTTAGAACAGTACAAATTGCAAACTCAAAAACAAGAGATACTGGCCAGATAGAGAGACCTTAATCCTGTGTCTCAACGTTCAAGCAAACAGTAGACGGGCCTGTAAGGTCACTGGTAACACTAGGGGTCACTGTCTCCTTAGATAACCAACCACATATGTTTGAAAGCACAGCATTCGCTCAAGGGTAAAGCGCAGAAGGCAGGAAGGGGTTGGAACTGACTCACACCTGACCCGCTAGCAGAGCATCTGGTGCATTTGAACCACATTGTAGGTTTTTAAATTAATGTTACAAAACAGAATAGGTTATGAGTAGTTGAATGGAAAACAAGTTTTCTTGGTAAACTTGCATTCAAATCACAGTAGAGAAAACTACACACACGCATTCAGATTCTGTAAGGGAGCTCTGGTGGCCTGTGTTGTGTTGTTGTGTACCATCAAGTCGGAACTGACCCATAGCTGTCCTGCCAGTGGGTTTTCAAAAGCAGTAAATCGCATGGGAGGAGATTTCCCATCCTTCTCTCGTGGAACAGCTGGTGGATTCAAACTGCATACTTTCAGGTTGGCAGCACAGCTCGTTACCACTAGGTCACCAGACCTCCCTTCTGATGTCTTAGTGAATTGTGCTGCCAACTTGAAGATAACGTGGTTTAAATCCACCAGCTATTCCACAGGAGAAAGACTGGGGATCTGCACTCATGTAATTTACAGCTTTCCCAAAACCCACTGGAAGAAAGGTCAGCTGTGAGTCAGTTCTTACCCCATAACATCAAGTAAGGAGTGACACAGTTTGAGGTTTTGAGATGCATCTGCCTCGGAACCTTTATTTCTTCTCTCTGTGCCCAAAATACTTTTTCACTTAAAATCTTCCTGACCTTTGTTCAGGTCTCAGTTCTGTTTTAGTATCAGAAGAGAAGCCTTATCTGTCTACTCCCCTATTAAAAATACTGCCCTCGGCAAGCTCTGGTGGCCTAGTGGCAGGAAACTGCATTGCAATCCCAGAGGTGCACGGTTCAAATCCACCAGATGCTCTGCTGAAGAAGGAGGAACAATCGCCTCCTGTACCAGTCAGATCCAATTTGACGGTACACACATAAAAAGAATAAATAAATTAAAAAAAAAATACTGCCCTCTCCTTGCTCTCTTTGTTCTATCCTAATTTGTCACCTATTATTGTGTCTTGTTTGTCTGCTTATCACCTGTCTTTCCCACTGGAATGGTATTTTCAGGAGGAAATTACTTTTTTTTTTAACCTATGACTGTCTTCTCATGCCCGTGAACTGTTCTGCTAAATGGCGGGGGTCTGTGCAAATTCATCAACTTAAGGAATGAGTCAATGAGTCATGGAGATGCACAAACCAGAGTGAATTATGCTGTTCGAGCACAATTTGTGTCTTCCCATGAATGCCAGGGAAATTCTGCTTTCTTAGGTAGCTTCATAATGAATGTGGTTGTCCCGTGTCCCAGGAAAACACTTCTGCATTGTGGGTTTGACTGTGCTTTCCTGTGACTTTCCTAGAGCCTTCCTTACCCACCCCACTGCAATAGCGTCAGTTCTGATGCTTGGGAACTCTTCATCCACTTCCACAGCTGTACATCTTTGTGAAAAGAGATTGCCCGTCTTTCTTCCATGGAGCAGCTGGTCAAACCAACCTTTTGGTCATTAGCATAAAATGTAGCACACTGTGACACCAGAACTTCTTAGCTCCCCTCAGCTCACTGCCATCGAGTTGATTCCGACTCATAGCAATCTTCCACTGAGTTTCTGAGGCTGTAAATTACCGAGGGGTGAGATTGCTCTTCCTCCCCTCTCACGGGCACAGGTGGGTCCAAACCACCAGACACACGAGGCCTTTCGTTTAACGGTGCAATGCAACGTGGGTCAACCAGGACTCATAGCAACCCCCTGAACAACAGACGAGAACCTTTCTGTGTCCTGCACCGTCCTCAGGATCTCTGCCGTGTTATACTCATTGTGTTAATTCCTCTCATTGAGGATCATCTCTCCTTTACTGACCCTGTGCCTTTCTTAACATAATATGTTTTTCCAAGGACTGGCCCTCCTGACAGTATGCCCAAAGTGTGGGAGATGAAGTTTCCCCATCTTTGCTTCTAAGGAGCACACTGGTTGCTCAAAGAGAGATTTTTTATTCTTTTGCTAATCCATAGAATATTCATTCAGTACTCTTTGCAAAAACCACAATTCAAAGGCATGGACTTTTTTTTCACTCTTCCTAATTCATCCTCCATCTTTTCAGATGCATAGGAAGCAATTGAAAATACCAGATGCACCTTTCTTTCTTTTTTTTTAATTTATTTATTCTTTTTATGTGTGTACTGTCAAATTGGATCTGACTGGTACAGGAGGCGATTGTTCCTCCTTCTTCAGCAGACCATCTGGTGGATTTGAACTGCGTACCTCTGGGATTACAGTGCAGTTTCCTGCCACTAGGCCACCAGAGCTCGCCCAGATACACCTTTCTCATGAGGTTTTACACAGTAGCCAGGCAGCCTTAATTCGCCTCGAGAGATTGACAGATCCGGCCTGTTCAGTCTTCCAGAGCCCGTATCTGTACCACTAGCTGTGGGTTTTGCCTTTGTTGGACTGCAAGAGTATCAGAGTATCACGAGTCACACAACTGAATATCATCTATGATTCTTACCACTTCAGCATCTCATTTGAATAATTTGCTTTTGAAGAACTTGATAACCTCTGGAACCAAACTCTTCCAAATGTTTTCGTAATGACATAAACTATGGTCAGAAGCCTCTCTTTCATTGTAACAAATGCAAACATTTCTTGATGTCTATAGATTGATAAATGATTCAGAAGGCATTTCCTATAATGACATTATTTTTCCTTATGATTTTGTTCTGGTCTTTTCTGTGTCTTCAAAATGCTTGTTATGAACTTTCACAGTTAGTGAGTTTATAGTTCTCTACACAGAGATCTTGTAGCTCATTAATGGGTTTTAATTTCCAATTTGAAAGGCTATTGGAAGCTCTGTGGCCTAGTGGCAAGAAGTTGTGATGCAGTCTTGAAGGCACATAGTTCAAGGCCACAAGCTGCTTCACAGAAGAAGCGTGGGAAATTTCCTCCTGTGCAATTAACTGCCTCTGAAAATCTGCTGGAGGGTCAGCTATGGGTTGGTTCTGACTCTAGGGTATACAACAACAACAATTGTGAGTGGTCAGTTTGCTACATGCACAGATTTTTAATAATCTTATTATTTTGAAAGATACAGTCCAGAGCACTTGATCGTGCTCACGTGAAACCTGGACTCCAGCCAGGAAGCAGTGGTCAGAAAGACTTGCATCAGGGATGCATCTTGTCCTCATACCTTTTCAATCTATATGTATAACAGATCATCTGGGAGGATGGACTTTATGTGGAGGAATGTGGCATCAGGATTGGAGAAAGACTCATCAGCAACCTACAGCAGATGACGCAACTTGCTTGCCGAAACTGAGGAGGCCTGAAGCGCTTGCTGCAGAAGGTCAAGGACTGTAGTCTTCAATATGGATTGAAGCCCAATGTCAAGAAGATGAAGAGTCTCACCATGGGCCAGTTGGCAGCATCATGACAGATGGAGAAGAGATTGAGGTTGTTAGGAATTACAGCTTGCTCAGCTCAACAATCAACAGCCTTGGCACCAGCAGTCAGCAAATCAAAAGACAAATTGCTCTGGGGAAAGCTGCTGTCAGGGACCTCTCCAAAGTGCTGAAAAGTAATGATATCAGTCTGGATACTAAGGTGCACCTCATCCAGGCCATAGTCTTTGCAGTTACTTGCTATACAAGTAATTACTGGACAGTGACTAGAGTTGACAGAAGAATTGATACCTTGAGTTATGTTGCTGGAGAAGAATATTGAACATCTCATGGACTGTCAAGAGAAAAAGTAAGTTTATCTTGGAGAGGGTGAAACCAAGCTGTTCCTTGCAGGCAAGAATTTTTTTATTTTATTTGAAATACAACTTTATTCTGGTTCTAAATGAAAAGAATGGGAATGACAGTAACAAACAAGATTTTACCATGGAATATTGTGGTTTGACTGTAGCAGTCCTGTATTTGAAACTCAAGAAGGTAACTGCCTTCCAAAACAGCTAAATATGCAGGTCCAAAAAATGAAGGGTTTTTTAACTGCCACACTCACTCTGAAGCCCATTCATCTCTCCTTCAGCATCCCAAAGATTAGCACATGTTCTGCTTAGCTAGATAATAAAGTGGCAAAC